GGAAGGGGTTTGGGTCCATTGGGATTGTGTACAATGGGAGTGAATGGAAAGGTGTTTGGGTCCATTGGGATTGTGTAGAGTAGGAGTGAATGGGAAGGGGTTTGGGTCCATCGGGATTGTGTACACTGGGAGTGAATGGGAAGGAGTTTGGGTCCATTGGGATTGTATACAGTGGGAGTGAATGGGAACATTTAGTCAGTTGGGATTTTATACAAAGGCAGTGTGGACTTTAGAAGATGTCTGGTTAGCTGTAGCTATGGTGTGATTAGCAAAGCAAACTGCACATTCCTTTCATGGCGAATGAGTGTTGGAGCACAATGCTGGCCCCTTTGTGTGGGTCTGACAGGCTGAATGGACTTATTCTGTGCTGTAGACCCTCCATGACTGTCAATCACATCTGCAGCCTTACTGTGTTTGTGCTTTCCCCCTTGCTCGGCAGATGAGAGACGTTCAGAATGAACATTTAACCCGCTTTATTGGAGCCAGCATCGATCCTCCAAACATCTGCATTGTTACTGAGTACTGTACCCGCGGGAGCTTACAGGTATGGAGGCCAGCACTGCCAGAGGACCGGTACGTCCCACACATGATCACCCACCCACTCCCCCTTTTTTCTCTGTTTAAACCATTCCACATTGGGTTTTCCCAATGGTCGGGATCCTCCAACTGAAGATACGGAAGGGGGAGTTCCCCTTCAAACACTTCATCCAGCCCTTTAGAAGGTACACCTAGTTATTGAGGGGACAGCATGGCACAGCGGGTAGTGTTTCTGCCCCCTGAGCTGGGATAGCTCTGGGTTCAATTCTCACTCTGGAGCTTGACGGCTGTATGTGTGTGTGTGTCTGTGAGTGTGAGTGTGCGTGTGCGTTTGCGTGTGTGGGTGTGTGTGTGTGTGTGGGTCTGTGTGTGGGTGTGTGTGTGTCTGTCTGTCTGTGTGTGTCTGTGTGTGTTCGTGTCTGTGTGTCTGTCTGTGTGTGTGTGTCTGTGGGTCTGGGTGTGTGTGTGCACGCGTGTGTGTGCGCGTCTGTGTGTGTGTGCGCGTGCCTGTGTGTGTGTGTGTGAGAGAGGGTTTGTGTGTCTGTGTGTGTGTCTGCGTGTGCATGTGGGTCTGTATCTATGTGTGTGTGTGCGCGTGTGTGTGTGTGTGTGTGTGTGCGCGCGTGAGAGAGAGGGTCTGTGTGTGGGTCTGGGTGTGTGTGTGTGGGTCTGGGTGTGTGTGTGTGTGTGTGTGTGCCTGTGTGTGTGTGTGGGTCTGGGTGTGTGTGTGTGTGGGTCTGGGTGTGTGTGTGTGTGTGTGTGTGTG